ATTATTGAGTGATTAAAATGGGGCGAGAATATTTGATGAATCACCTTATATATATATATAAAAATGGGTTGGCACTTGGTAGAAGATTCTTTCGAAAACGAGTGTGGTGACTGTTATTAGCTCTGTCGGAAATGATTGATGCGATTATTTGAGGGTGGCGTTCAGTGCTTACGCGCCGGGAACGACGATTATTGTTTCGAAGTGAGAGATGACGGACAATATAATACAGACAGAATGAAAGAGAGTGTGTCTGCGTGAGAGAGAGAGAGAGAGAGATGTGGAGGGGGAGAGAGGAGACTGCGATCGTGAGACATAATATAGAGCAAGCGAATTCCGGCGAAACCTCGTCGAGTATTAATCATAAATATCCGTACAAAAGCCGTAGAGGAAGGTGGCTGCGATGTTTAATTTCGTTGGTTGCGAATTGCGACTATTGCGAGCATAATTGGTCGTGAAAGCAGAAATTATTGAATTATTTTTTGTTCGATTCCTAATATTTTTTGCTTCGTAAAATAAATACATTTCTGTCAAACATATTTTTCACCCGAGTACCAATAAATAGACACACGCACTCACAAATTTAACGGTTTTATTTCTTCAGCTGAACCGATGGCGAATTCGAAGATAATTTATTCGGCAAAACATTTGTCGAAAAAGAAAAGTAATTTTATTCTTTCAAAAAAACATACTGTTTTTCGTTTCTATGAATAATATGTTACGTACGTCGCATGTATATAAAAAAAATATATACATATATGCAAAAATATCGTGATGGTATTTCGCGTCGCCGTGATAACGCAAATTCGTATTATATATAGCCTATACGAATAAAACGCGAATCTTCAGTCGTGCGAAATTACAGGCCTGCAGAGTCACTATGGGCCTTTGATGTCAACCCCATTTTCGGACGCGATTCGAATACTCAAAGGTGTGGTGAGTGTTTTTTTAGTTTTTGTTTTTAATTCAAACTTCAGAGTGGCGTGTCGGCGTAGGTCTGCAATGTGTCCGTTAAAACTTGCGTCTGCGTATGTTGTGGTCCGAGGGATTTCGTGCAGCGGAAATCTATTTTCATTATAATCGTTGCTGACGGAAACAGTCTCAAACGGATAAGGCGATATATTATGTTATAGGTACCTACGTGGGAGATGGGAAAACGCGGTTCCGAACGGAAGTGATTGAAAAAAAAACAGTAAATAAATAAACGGGTTGTTATGGGTTATAAACGGCATTTTCGGTGTTGTTGTCAGACGAAATCGTCGGTTTTTGTAGGAAGTAGGAGCACTACAATGCGCCGCGGCCCGATACGATTTATAATAATATGTAATATGATACCGCAAAAGGTGTACGTTATCTTTGCCCTCGGCTGAATCCGTTTCGGTTCTATAATAATACGAATCTCTCGTAATCCCCTATACCTACCCATATACTTAAGCACCGATATATAATCTACTCCCCCGTAAATCGTATATATATACGTTGATAATCTCGCCTTGACGGGGGATTTCAAGCGACACTATCTCGTATACCTACACTTGACGTTGACAAACAGCCGAAATACTACTGTTTCGTTACTCCGTGTCCCCATACAACAGTAATGATTTGATGTACACGCAAAAGGGAGAGCGGCGACGACGTTATTGCGGCCGACCCGGAATTAATGAAGAGGAGGATGAGGATGATTAAACGGCACGTCTGTGCGTGATCGTGGGGAGGAGAAAATCACGGTCTGCAATCGTGTTACAGGAACGGATTTAAGGGGTAGGCACCGTCATTAGCTTAGCTCCTACAGGTTAATTAGGGAGAATGTAAGTTCCCGGACGAAACATAGTCGGTAAAAGGTATCCACACAAAGTAAGTTTCTTCGACAAAAAAAATTACACCCGTATTGGGTGAGAATTCTTATTAGAAAAAAATATTTCCATCATTATTATTAAACCTCGTAAGTTGTACAAGAAGGAGAACAACTATTGTAATATGTCGCATGTTTTTAAAAATATATTCCTACAGGAAAATGACAACATTTGTCGGATCGCGTGTAAAAAAGTCACGTGGTGACTGGTGGCAGTATGTATCGTCGGATCAGAACGCACACAAAGTATTTCTCTTACCACCTATAATAAGTATAGGTATGTGCAATTATATAAGTAAGAAAAAAACATTTCGTGCATGTGCACGACGATGATACGACGGAAGGACGGACTTGTACACGATTTTCGGAGGCTTTATGTGTATTATACTGTGTTGGGACACGGATCCACAGGCCATAGTCAATGAAATCGAGTGCAATCAAACCAGATGACGTGTATAATATGAAACAGTGTGGTTTTATCACGACACGCTCGAGCTTATTAATGGAAGCGGTGGTCGGCGGAGGCGTCACGTCGAAGTAGTTTGCGCGGTGGCGGTAATTCTTGTTCACTCCCAGTCACACAGGTGTTCTAGGACGTTATTCTCTCAATCGTTTATAATATTTTTATGCTTATCAATCACAGACCCACAACACTACGACAACGACATACAGGCACACTAACACACACATGCACACACACGCCACAAACCACACACAATATTTCACACTTGAGCATTTATACTTATTTATTTTTATAACCATAGTCTTAAACAAGCGATAACTAGTAATATATATACTCAGTCTACTTTAGTCACATACAGTCTCGTGTATTACGCTCACCCACCAATCTATATTTCATATAGCTACATAATATAATAATATATATACATATCAAGCACCTCGACGATAAAACGTTATCCATAAGTATGACATTATTATGAGGTATACAACCCATAGGGTAATAATGTCGGTAATAATAATAAACACGCGTAGCGTTTTGTTTCTTTGCACACTGCTGTAGGTATATTATAAATCACGGGGATTATGCTATATAGCGTTGCGGCATTCGTGCAAGCGGAAAAAATAATACTCGTGCATTTAAACATATAAAAAAAAAAAACCGAACAAAACAAAACGAGAAAAGCGCCTATATACTGCGTATATTACATACCTAACATAATATTATTATTATACATCGTACACGGCAGTGGGAACCGTTTAATCTATGTGAAATCTCTGCAACGACACGCCTATTGTATGGCGTGTATACGCATTATCGTTGTGGTATGATAATATTATTATTATTTCGATACGATATAACACTAGCTCAATCGGTTGGTTTGATCCGGAGCTCACAAAAAGCAGGAAAAAAATACCTCCCGTGAACTCGAGTCGGATGAACGTACCCAGACGCGACGGATATATCGTAGCGATCGGCTTTTCACAATAATATAATATTACACATGGGCGGTAGCATAGGTAGGTATAGGCAGCGACGAGTGCGTCACCCGACGATCGTCTCCCTCTCTCCGAGGGGTTCAGTAGTCGGGGGCAGTGATATGGAAAAAAAAAGCAAACGGTAATATAATATTAACAATAATAATAATAATTATTATTATTGTCCACATCAATATTAGTATAATATTACTTTTGCGCGGCGTGTTATCCGTGGCAAGACGAACGGCAAGTAACGATGACGTCATACCAACAGTACAAGTCCAACAGCGGAAGAAGTGAGTATGTATATATAGGGAATGAAACTTGAAAAAAAAAGCTTCCGAGACGATGATACAACATAGAATATCAATTATAAGATTATTATAATATGGTTGTCGCACAAGCGTTGGAGTCGATGACCGTTCGACCAGTGTTTTTTTTTTATCAGAAGTTATTTTGATAATATATGTTTGATATATTATCACCATATTCATTCATTATCTGTTCGTGTGGACGGTAATGTACTCGAGGTTGTACTTCGCAGAAAGAAAATGGTCGATTGAACGCCTCGACAAGAGTCTTAGTTTCGAAATTAGATTAATTAATTATTTAAAGCTCGTCCGACAAGTGTTTTGGATACATCTAATGGGAGGTATCTGGTTTATCGTGTGTGTATATTGGACGATCAGAGCTATCGAATGACGATAATCGACGTACCTATACCTAACCTATGCCATTACTTCTCACTCGACAATTTTCGACGCTTATATTTTATACACCAATAGTAAGGACTTCTCCTTAACAAGTTACAGTTCTATAAAATATTAATCAATTTCGAAAAGGTATAATCCTGATCGTTTTTCGTTCTAGATATAACATATCTTAAAACTATAAATCGTTTCCCATAAACTATTAAGTAGCGAAAAGCACTTCTACAAGTTCGATTTGATTACGTATGATTCGGGATAAATTATTTATGTCAAAATACATTTACGAGTTAATTTACAGGAAAATTTAACTACTGTAACACCGATCTAATTAATTCGTCTAATAATGGAACTTAATTTATGGTAATTACCTACAACTTACAAGTAACGTACGTTTATCGAATTATGCTGTAAATTATGTATTTATAAAGTTTTGATTATCGTAGTAAGAAGTTTGAATGTTGACTACCTACTAACACGTTTTTCATAGATACATATTATTAGATTATATACATAGAGCGATAATTTTAATGTAAATCAGTCAATAGCTCAAATTATTTAGTTTAAAAAATGAAAAATGTATGACAACGTTATAAATATATTCGTTTTATAAATTACTTGTATGGCTGTACATTATTATATAAGTATAATAAAAACGATGAGTTATTTTTTAAAACCACAAGTTGATGACACTTGGGTAAGCATAGAAGAGGAATGGAGGATGATTTTGTGAGTAAAAATTGTGTACAATATAATATAAATTATACGATTATCTTAACATTAAAACATTTAGAGATATTGACCGATTAACGCCGAAAGAATATCACCCAAGTTTATACTAGTGTCTACACGGGTATAGTTTACAAAATGTGTAACTTTCTAAGGGTCGGTTCATTTTGAAATAATGTGTTCGTTTGTGTACGAGTACTTTACTGTTTTAACGTATTTAATAGTATTTACTTTATAGTTTCACGCAGATGGTAAAATGCAGTGACTGTTACTAAAAATACATTTGGTTTGTTTTATTTTTATTGAAGCGTAACTTTACACTTTCGAGGTGAACCGCAACACGTATGTTTACGTTCTATAATTGTCTAGTAATTGTTTTATTGTAGTAACAAAATTATCGAGGCAGTGATAATATTGATCGACACGACGGGTACTAATAATATACCAAAGAATGTAATACATTGTTATATAAACATAAAAACGGTATAGTCATTAGGATTAATCTCTAAATTTATAATCTTACCATGTACGCTTTACATCTTAAAAATATTCTTAGTTTAATCTAACTGTAAACTTATATTTATGGACCGGACAGTTTTTTAGTCACTCCTCTGTGGGTCTGTTGTTGTTCCAACGAACTTTTGCACATCAACAGGTTCTTGTACGCTTGACGGTACTCGGAGCTCATGACTACGTAAATAATTGGATTTATGCAAGTAGTCAAATAGATGAGGACATATGCGGTTATGTTTAGCACGTGCAAGTCGTCTAGTTCGTGTGATGTTTTGCTAATGGTGATCGGCAAGTAGCATGTGACAAATGATGCAAATATTACAAGGATCATTTTTAGCAGCTTCTTGTCTTTCGACGACATCCTGTCAACTCCAATGGTGCTCTGTTTCCGTGTCCTCGGAGAGGAGTCCTCTTTTGTCTGAAACACCTGTCCAACAATATTGTTATATTAACGTATTTAAAGACATTCGATAATGATGTTGACTAATGATTGTAATAAATCTTAATGCTATACAATTTAATCAACGGGCTGTACTAAGTAAGTAGGTAATTAAGTATTTTATTTTTAAAAAAGAATAATGGAAAATTATTAATTGATATTAATTGAATAGATTAAACTAAAATTGTATGATTAGTAATATCAAAACAAATCTTGTTTACAACTAAATTTCGTTACAATATTAATGATTGGTAATCTAATACAAAATAAGACAGCTGATAATAACGTTATACAGTTTATTTTTTGTGCATATAATTTAGTTTAGTTATACTTATTTTAACTAGATAACGTTCGTTATATTTTTTTATGGAATTAAAATGTAGACAAGATGTTAATAATTCTGTTATTTTATGTAAAAGTCTATTAGTTCAATCGAATCCATAGACAATATGTATTCGTGTAGTTATTAGTATAGAGTTTTTAGAAGTTACGAGTATTGCCAAATGCATATAATTGTATCATAATATAGACATACCGCCGATACGACTTGAGTGATGGTGGCGTTGAGGGCGGACGATGGTGAACGGTCGCGCCGTCTGGAACTCCTGCGATCTGAGAAGGATATCGGTGAATAACTCTCATCGAGACCGGACGAACTAGGGTCGGCGATAATGTCATGTGGGGAAAGGAAGTGTTGTTCCTTCGAGTCAGTAGTGGAGCACGTGCCGGTAGCTGTACTGGATCCGAGGGCCGAGTCTGTTGATATCTCGGGCACCTTGAAGCGGGTCTTGAGAGTGTAGTAGGGCGTAGAGTCCGATGGCTTATTGGTATTCATCGTGTGACGTGGGTTAGTTGTCACCGTAGCCCGTGACTTAAGGGCTGTTTTTCGAACGATATAGAAAATCCTAGCGTAACACACCACAATAGACAAGCAAGGCACCACAAACGCACCCATGAACAGAATTTCTTTTGGCGACCGACCAACGGAGTCTGGAAGTATGGAGCACGAGCCAACGGTCACATCTAAGCCGAATTGGCCCCATTTCCCGAGCCACGTAGGAATCAGTAATCCAAAACCACCTACCCAAGTAACCGTCACCATAACGCCCAAATAGAATCTCTTATACAACCTGCAAACCAATACAATACACAATAAGAATCCATATTTGCAAGTTACAAAACTATTTAAGATGATGGGTTTGGTATGTCAACAATTTTTGTCTTGACAACTTTTATACGAATTACAAAAATAGAAAATACCAGTAAAAATATGTTAGCATCTCTCTTATATACTTATTTGTGTCAAAATGTCATATATTTATGTAATTTTGTTATTTGTATATTACAATTATTATTTTGGATTAAATTCGCAAAATATAAAATTAATATCGTCTGACAGTCATACTGCACCCGGTTCTTTGAGCAACTCTGAGCTTAAAAAACATTTTACGTTTTATGTATTATACTATATTTTTCACTAAAAAGTGTTGATAACGATGACAGCTAAAGACAAGAAAATTTCAAATATATTCATGAAATCTGTCAAACCAATGACAAGTAATTTTCTTTCAGATTATCTTCTTAAATTAAAGACAAATCCTAAAAACAATAACATTTCAAAGTTAATTTATCCCACTAAATAAAATAAAAATATGAAAAATACGTGATTAAATTTAATAAATTGATTTAGCTGTTCAAAGCTTAAATAATATATAATTGAATTAAAAATACAGTTTGTCTTTGTTTATAATAATTGATAGTAATAATAATATAGGTATGAAATAATTTATAAGATTTAAATCAATATCTTTACTCATATACAGCTCCAATCAAAATAGGGATAATTAGACAAAATTATATTCTTGTAAGTGCTATCTATGCCTGTGTGGTTTTATGATATTAAAATGTTAATTTTTAACTTTTTGTAGGGACTTAGGTACTATTATTTTTGGAAAGATTAATTGAAATATGAAATGGAAAAACCGTACTAAGATTGATCGTACAAAATAGTTAATATTCACTTACTTTGGGTAAAGCGACGGATGTCCAATCATGATGTATCGATTTATGGTTATAGCCAATATGGTAAATAAGGACACGGCTAACAAACCGTATCTGACTAACGGGAAGAGGCGGCAAAGCAACTGACCGTGTATCCACGATCTATACCAGAACGTAGAGGCAGCCAGTGGTAAGTTGAAGCAACAAAAACTCAAATCTGACACGCTGAGGTTGATGATGAATACGGCTGTTGCATTACGCACCTGAAACATGCAATAATTCGGTTTTGTTAATTAATTTAAAAAAAAAACTTAAAATTTTAGGCCACCAAAATGTATACAGAACGCAAAACAGATATAATTATATATATAATTTAAATTATATTATTATATACCTAAGTATCTTATGCAATTAATAATTGAATTACATTAATTTCTATATTTATAGAACATGAGTAATATAACATCATATTTTCAATTATAAATGGTTTCTTAAGAACAATTTTATGATATATATTATATATACATATAATGAGTAATTGACAGATAGATGAAATAATTAGAAAAAGAATAACATGAAAACCAATCGATGTGGTAAGTATAATGTGGTTACTAAAACGTATCTGGCAACAAACAAGCTGAGAAATCTCCGAGAGATAAGCAACTAGTAGAGATGACGTCCGAAAAATTGAATTATCGTTTTTGGCTGACACGTTAAATGACATAAAACGAAAAAAAGTATCCATTAAATGAGATGGAGGATAAAGAAATCTTCAATAAACTATATATCATATACATTATACACGTCCTATCCCAATATTATAAAGTTGAGAGCATGCAGTTGGACGCAAATGCGAATTATTCACACAAGAATTACTTTTCATATTTTTTTTTTCCGAAAAAAATAACACAATGGATTTTGTGACTGTTCATTCGACAGAACACATACTATAGGTATTATGCATCTTCAGTGTGGCTTTTTTTTATTGGAAATTTGGTTTAGAAAATGCGAAGTAAATCTATAAAATATATCATACTTCACCGATTGCAACACACAACTGATCAATATCGGTACGAAATAATTTTTGTTAATAATAAAATTTATTTCAAACACACATTTTATCGAGATTAAATAATAAACACAAGTGACGTGAAAAATTGAGCTGAAGTAAGTTTTTCAGAAAAAAAAGTATAGCTTACAAAAGTTAATTTTGATTTGATAAAAATGGCACGTGACTTTATTCAACTTATACATTCCGGTTCAGTCGTCTATAAAATGTGACTTGATGAGCCAGCGACAGACAAATAACAGTACCATTATTTCTTGATAAATAAACAAATATATATATTTGTACATTTGTATATTTGAATGTTTATATTATAATATTTTTCTTTCCAAAATACATTTTACGTTCGATATTCTAAGTTTTGATAGGTTTGTTGAACTTATTAAAATGTTGAAAATATAGTACATTTTTTTCTTTCATAAACAAGAACTTCGAATCTCCGTTAAAAAGACGAAATCACTCTTAACTGTATTATGACGATAATAATCTTAGAATTTTGGAATGAAATAGTTTATAAAAGTTGATACAATATTTTAAATATTATTAGAATTACCAAATTACATGTTGGCATATGCTCACCTTAATTGAAGGTATTTTATTTGGATATTTCTTAGAATTAAAAAAAAACTACTGAAAAAGAGTATTTTAATATTATTAAAATGAATTCGATGTTCTTCATCTTTTAGCATGTCAAACTGCTAATTAATCAGTCAGATAGGTATTTTTTAGGTTTAGTTTGTGATATCTCGGGAAAAAATACAATTAATATATTATATATTTTAGTCGAATATAATTTAAATGCAATATAAATAATATTATGATATTAAACAAAAACAGTTATTATAAACAAATAAAATGATAAATTTTTAAAATATTAACATATTATTAAATTGTTGAAATTTTTTATTGAGCAGTTGAGTTTTTTATTGTTCCGTGCATTTTTATTAAGATCCAGTATTTTATTACTGACCATAAACATTCAATTGTTTGCACATTAGCCCCATTTACAGAATTTACAAAATATTCTGAATACATTATTGTATAGTTAAACTAATATAGGTAGGTAATACCTTTTAGACTGTGGTATGATCTCCATTCATCAGATACTATACTAGGTCTCTTCAGATAATTGTAATTAATATATATTTATATCTCAGTACATCTTACACAATTCTAGTAGATCACGGCGGGCTAAGTATCGGTTCACAAGCTAAACGAATGCTAATTTATCATGATTTCGGAGATATTATTGTGTTCTTTTTTAAAATATAACTTATATTATAAAGTGGATAGTAATGAATTTACTACAATAGATAAACATTGTTTTAATTGAAATTTTCTCAAGAAGAAACCGTGGAAAACCTATGCGTAAAAGTACAATCTTTTAACATTGTCAAACATATCGGCGATGAAAACTTACGGAAAACAGACATCATAAATAATAGAAAAAAATCATATGCTTGTATTCCATCAATCATGCGGTTGTAGTTTACGGGTTTGATCAGTGTAATGACGAAATATGTGCTCAAACAATATGTCGGACACTGCATATAATATTTTCGAGGCGATCACCTCCCTCGGACGAGTATTTTACGCGCAAGGTTTTATTTTTATTTTTTGGCCCACAATAATTGACATTTTACATTTTCATTGTTGCGCTTGCATCACCGAATAACAGGATTTACGACACGACAGAGTATCTACTCCCCCAGTCACGCGAAATCAAATATGTATTTAGGCTTGCAGTACGTGATACTAATCGCATGATGTTGAATTGATGATGATAAAATAACATTTGGATTATTAAAAAGCTATAAACATTGAAACGATGAATTGTGCCACGGAGATCCTATGCCCCACCCTATATTAATATGATGTGGTGTGCAAAAAATATTTAAAAAAAATAAATAACAAATACGATTTATAAAAATAATTATAAGCTCGGTTTCTGCACCTCAATGTACTCTAAGTATTATATTATTATTTATAATCTAAAATAAGATGATTTTACTCACTGTTTACAGTTAAGATCAAACTCAAATAGAATCCTTTTGGTAAATAATAGAAGTAAACAAAAAGTATCTCAGTTAGTCATGCGTTTGTAATGTGTACTTTTTTTTTAAAACGTTTGTTTCTTTTTGCTGCGATAATGAGTGATTTGGTAAACGTTGGTATCTAGGCTTTGTGTAATAAACCTATTATCTTACTTGAATCGACTTGTCTTTGCCACCACAAGGGAATAATCGTGTGCAGCCATAACATCTGATGCCGACTCACAATGCAAACTCATTAATTGCCGAACCCAGCAGAAGGCTTAAGTTTAATAATATCAATTTATTTAATAAATGACACTCGGTGGGCCCATAATATAGTAAAGGTTATTACAAACGACGTAACTGTTGACAGGCTGTATAAAACAAAGGTTACATAGAGCTCAGGATCATCGTAAACGATGAGAAAATACAAAACCACCGAATGAACCAGAAAGATTCATTTAAAACAAATTATAACTGGAATAACTATTAAGGTGTGACGATGAGACAGCTTAAGGGTTAAGTACAAATCTTTCGCGGAAAACGTTTTTATAATAAAAGTTTATTATAAATAAATACATTGTTCTACCTTCTAAGACACCACTTTTATCGTAATTCTTAGGACATAATATTATATTCTGTAACGATTTTACTAATAATTTGTAAATATAAATAAATTGTATAAACTCGCAATGGTATAATAGCAATTGGAAATTTTTTTTTTATATGCATTTTATTATTATAGGCATGCCATAAATAATGGAATACAATAAAATAAATTCTACATAAACTATATATTTTATTCAAAACATTACATTTGTATTTCTATTGTATAAGAATTGTATGCATATTGCATTGTAAAGAATTTATTTTTTTTAAAAAAACAGGATTATATTATTTTTGGGTATCTATAGGTTACAATTATTTGAAATAAGAAACAGATAATACTTCCAAATTTTATTTTGAGAAATGCCAGTTTCGATTAATCTTTTATACGCATATTAACTGCTATCTGATTTAAACAAATTTATATTGTGTTTATTTATGAGATAATATATTCTACTTTTTAAATTTTTTTTTATTAGCTTTAGTTTTACTATTACCGCTCAACAATTATACATTCCACTTATTTTATTTTTGAAGTATTGTTTTTATCACAAATATTATATTATATAGGTAAAACGTTCATTAATTGTATCTGATTTATACATATTTTAAATTGTATTATTTTAATTAATGTAAGAAATATTTGTATTATCTTATATTATAGTGTTTATTTAATATATTTAATTGTATTTTGGTTTTTAGAACAAACAAGTTTTGTATTTTAATTAAATTAAATATTTTTTCAAAAATATGACATGTTAAATTAAAATCAGTCGGTAAAATATTATTTAATAAATGAATACGATTTGTTTTAGTGAAAAGGTAAGAAAATCGAGCGAGTTAATAATTTAGAAATTAATCATGTCAATTAATAAAAGAAACGATACTGAGAAATAATAAGATACGAACGTTGAATAACCGATTCTTTGAAAATTCAAGGCTAGTGGTGAATGTCCTTTAAATAATATTCAAAATATTATTATTAAGGGTTATGAAATCATTTTTAGTACGACCAAGTTTTCTTAAGAATATGGTCTTTGGAATACATTATTCATTTTAGGGCCTGGATAAATTATGCATCACCAAATACAAGTAAAAGTGAAATAAAATTAATACTTAGACAAAAAATAAATATTGCTGGTAATTATAAAGCACTTTGACTAACAAAAATGTATAAATGGCACTAAAAAGTTTTACATTTTATGTTATTTGTTTACTGCCTGCTATTACTAAAAAGCTATTTACGTGTGTACGTACTTTAGATTACATCGACACGTAGTGATAGTTAAAACCCTCGAGTCCTTAAATAGTACAATAATTTAAGCAATATACTAAACATAGGACAATTTAAAATCAAAATTAATATCAGTTTCGTAAAGTTACCTTAAGCATCGTTAAATAAAATTTAGTTGCAGAATAAAGACATATTCTAAAGTTTTTCAATCTCATCATTCAAATGGATTTATTCGAATGACTGATAAGAGTAGTAATGTCACTGTGTGTATTATAGTTATTTGACAGCCATTTTATTTTATCGGTGCTATAGTATCTTTTTTTT